CAACATTCAATCATATATGAAAGTAAATTTTTGTTCATATATCAACATCTAAAGAAAGAAAATACTAGAATAGCTACAAACTCGCTCAATGAACGAAACTCATTAAGAACTTTGTTCGCACAAAGTTTGAAGTCGAAACTCTAAAGTCGGTTTTTCAAGTGACCTGAGAAGGGCCACAACTTTTTGTTGAAAAACTCAGTCAAAATTTCCATATCTCGACAACGAAAGGTGTCTAGAAAACCAAATCATTCTAGACTTTTCTATTACTCGCAAGTACTCGTCAAATTCTCGACCGATCGAAACCATGCTATTTGAACTCTGCCAAAATCCACTTCATCTAGCAAAGCTCGATTACCTAAACCCGTTTTCACCGGAGAGTCAGATCATGTTAAGTCGACGTCCAACTGTTAAAATCCTTGTTACGCCATTACTTGTCTAGAGAATCGTATGTTCATTTTTGTTCTTTTTTTTAGGATACATTTTCCCTTTGTTTTATTAATGCCTGTTTTCGTAATATTTTGTTAAATACGTATTCTTGTTTATTGCTGTTGTTGCATGTCTGATGATTCGAAAGTTCATTTGACTGAAAACTAGAAATTATCATCTTTGAAATATGAGCAACAATAAGACCAAAGAATAGTTCTCTTGTTGATTTAAATTTCAATAAAATTCTTATAAAATAAGTGAAAATTTGGAATTAATACAGTGGCTCTCAAAATTATTCGACTAGGTTTTGTTTCAGCTTTCTTCCATTGCTGAAAACGCTAATTAAAATAGAAATAATGATTTGTGAAGAGAATTTTATTTCTAAAAAGAATATTCGAATATGAAGAAGGATTGCTAGTTTTACAAGGACAGAATCTCTTAACAACCAAAACCTAAATTCTTCATCCAGTGGCGAATTTATCGGGGTACGACAAAGCGATCGCATCCCCCTTCGAGAAAATTTTTTCGATTTTTTCCAGCAAAGACGAACGAATAACAAGTTCATACTAACTAAAATGCATCTGAAAATGTGTTTTTGCCTATGATTGTATCCCTCTTTCAAAATTCTGGATCCGCCACTGTCTTCATCTCTTGAAATTCCATTTGAATTACTCAGCATGACCAAGGAAATTACTGTCTAGAAAATAAAACGTCTTCCAATTCTCTCTCTCTCTCTCTCGGACGTTTTTTGCCATAGATACATCAATCTTAAAGAAGGCACGCAAAAAAAAACAACTCTCGTACCTTCCATAAGGTTGACGTATCTAGGTCAAAAAAACGTCACAGAAAGAGCTAAAAGACGTTTCATTTGATAGAGAGAAAGAGTCATTTGTTCTATCATTCTGAATGACTCACACAGATTTTCAAATGAAAAACTTAACTTTTAGTTTTTCAAAGAATCAATCTTAGGAAAATTAATAATCTTTTTCATGGTCAAAAATTCTTATTGAGAATCAAATTTTCTATACAAATCATTATTCGGATTCTTATTAGTGTTTAAGGCAGTAGAAAAAAAAATTGAAAATAAACCAAATCGAACAACAATAGGAACTACACTGTATATGAATGTAGTTGATTGATTAATTGTCTTCAATTAATTGAGAAGTGTAATATTATTACAACTATGATTTTCTACTTTTACAATTATTAAACATTTTGAAACACAATATAAGAATGATTCCGATCTTTAAAAGAAAAATCGATTTGATGATTAATTGGTTTAAAACATAAGAATATTCATAGTCATTTCAATGATTGAAACAATTCTCTGTGCTTTTTCTATTAAGAAACAATAAACTATTCCTTTCCTACTCATTTTGATTAATTCATCAGACACATTCATTGATAAATTTTTGCTAATACTTGTCATGTCCCATATGAACAAGAGCTGTTCTTTCCACTATTATTGATACATCCAATAGAAAATGAGAAAATCTTCATCTTTTCTCAATCAATCATCAATGTAATTCATATGTGAATTATCAAACTAATAGTATGAATTTGACGTAATTAATTGTTTTCTTATTTCATCAATGATTGTTTGAACTAGAATGTTTAGAATTAAATTTAATAGCAAAGAAAAAAAAGGCTAAAATTTCTTAAATAAATATATGACTAAAATATTTTTTCTTTTACAAATGCATCATTTGTTCGATTTTGTTTATTAAACAAAAAAAATCAAGTAGCTATCCATTAAATACGGCATCAGGTGTATGTAGAAAAAATATACTTGTATATGCGTGTCTCAGCTTGGTGTCTATCTCTCCAGGAGTGCATCTATACCGTTGATGAAATTGAATATGCGAAAGCGAATTGACACTGATTCGATTGCGTGTATTGATACTAGTGTTAGTCATCATCGGAAGTGATAACTATAGTGAAAACACAGCAAGAAATCATCTCCTGTCTGGGCAATATAGTTCCGTTGATGACACCATCTACACCTGCCTATCGAAATAAATATTGTCGCCATCACTCAGCAGTAAGTCGAAAACGTTTATCTCGTATTCTCAATTATTGTGTGACTATAGCAAATTATCATCATCATTGTCGAGACCTGTATGTAAATAGTTCAAGACAATCAAAATTAATCAACTTCTTCTCTTCATTGCCGCTCACTCAATATATACATATACAAAAACGCCTACCTCATCAAAACTAGTGGAACAAAAAAGAAAGACACAGAGAGAGAGAGAGAGAGAAAAAGAGAGAAGCACGACATCCGTCGTTATTCTTTTCAATACAATACAACTGGTGTACATTCTTAAGTTTGAAGAGCAATTCATTAGATTTTTTTTGTGTGTATTTAATACAATTGGATCAAACATAGTCGTAAAATGTACTCTTAACTTAAGCATGTGAAAACGGAGATGAATAGTGACACACACACACACACATACAGAGACACACCGATATATGTATGCATCATAACTGTAAAAAAGAAAATTTAAAGACAGATGTGGTCATCGAAAGTATGATGAAAATTGATCACACCTTTATTTAGTGCGAGACACATTGCAAGATTGACATGGAGTGTTCATTTTTCCGGAGTTTGACATTAAAACGGAATTGTGCTTGTCTTCTTATTTTGAAAAAATAAATTTCTTTTTTTCAACAAATAGAAACTTGGATATATTTGAATACAAAATATGAAAGAAAACTTCTGCATTCTAAAGTGGCCATCTTAACGTTCGGCAACTTTATACTTATAAGATAATTTGATCAGACTAACATCCGCATGCATAGAGATCATCAGGCTTTTGTTCGCATTCTTTTTCTTTTCTATCAAATTGGGTTGATTCAACATTCTTTGCGTGTATATGTGTATGAGGGACTCCCGATGAGACGTTAATATCATTTAGTTAGAAAAGAATGAGCATATTTGTCTTTCAGCTATTTAATAGTAACGGCAAAGACTATAATGTCGTTAGTGGCGGCAAATATGATGTTGTGATTCGTAGAAAAAAAACAAGAAAAAGATGATGACATGTCCCTCCTGGTTAGAATTTGAATTAATAAACCTTTTTCTTTCTTTTACGCTTTTCGCGTTGCGTGACTTGTAATTTTCTTGTCGATTTACTTTTACTATACAATTGCAATGATAGTCATCTCGTTTCTTTTCTTTTCTTTTTTTTTTCTTTTCCATATAGAATTCAAGTCAAAATGAACCATAAATAAAATATGATGGTGTAAGAATCATGCTTTTTCGATCAATTAACAGTTAATATTCGATAAGAATGTTTCGCACAATAGATTTTTCTCTTCATATATGTGTATGTATGATGATGGTGATAGTATTGGTGATGATGATAACGAAGAAAAAGAAAATTAGTGGTACATAGGGCATGCATTTGCAAAGTGACACATTTGATTAGACTCTTGATGAATCAAAAGATATGAAAAGAGCACTTTGGTTGGTGTACATCCGTAAATCAATGATGTAAAATCAATCGAGCGTATTATAAGGCAAATGAAAGGTTGCCAGAAAAGAAAAAGTAATTAAAACTTTTTTTCCTCTCTCTCCCTCTTGTTTTTTTTGTATAGATCAACATTGTTATAGTAGAAAGGAAAAAAAAGAATAAAATTCTTTGTATAAAATGAATGTTTTATAAATAAATTATAAAATTCATGTTAAACAAAAAAAAAAAAATGTCTATTCAATTTTTTAACACATACTTTTACATACATATACAAAAAAAAAGAAAACTTGACCTTTTGTGTATGTGAAATATTTGAAAATTTTCTTTTTAAGAACTGATATATATCAACACAGAGATTGGAACAATTTTACATTTAAAATATAATTATACCATTTGAAATGAATAGTTAAATGGTACAATTAATTTTATACACACCAGGAGATTAGGCGGAGTTTTTTTTCTTTTCTTTTCTTCAGCATAAAAGTTTTATCTACTAACCAATCAAATATTTCTGTTTTATTTGTATTGAAACTTTTTTATTCTTATTATAAATAAGAATTAATTGACTTGAAAAAAGCACAAATATTTCTGTTTGTTTCTTTCTTTTCTTTTTTTTTTTTTTTCTTTTCTTTTCTGTTCTTTGCTTTCTCATTACCCAATGAGGATTTATTCGGTCTAATTTTCTCTTCTCGTATTATATTAACCAATCAAAATACGTTTGCTTATACGACATTTCTTTTCTCTTTCTACAGCCATTCATTATGAATAGATCAGAATAATGTTGTCCGATATAGCACCACCACTCCGACTCGTTCGGTGCTTGCTGTTTGTTGTGAAGCAAACGACACACAAATATTTTGCGTTTTCTCTCTCTCTTAGGAGAAGAAGAAGAAACGAGAATGACGATGATGAAGAAAAGAGAAAGAGAAGAAAAGAGAGAAAGATGAATTAGTTAGGAGGGCGAAAAACGGAGCAAACTGGTTTTTTTTGCAAACAGAGAGACCAATCATAGAGCAACAAGTTGTTTGTGAGAAAACGAGCGGAACGACAACGGCATACATACATATAAACAATTCCCCTGTGGTCATCAGTGCCATGCAGAAAGAACCAATAGCCAATGGAGATATATCACTTCCACAAGCACCATTACCACCACCACCACCATCATCATCCCTATCTCATCATCCAAATTATCCAATGTTACTTGCCGCTCAACAACAATTATATGATTATGCTGTACGTCTTCGATTTGGTGGAGTTCCACCACCATCGGGACCAGCTATATTATCACCAGGACCTGGTTCACATCATCCTTCATTTAATGATCCACATGCTTTATATGCTTTTCATCAACGACATGATCCACGATTACGTTGTCTTCTACGTGAAGAACCTAAACCGTCCTATTCATATATTGGACTTATTGCAATGGCTATATTAAGTTCACCCGAACGAAAACTTGTTCTTTCGGATATATATCAATGGATATTAGATCATTATGCTTATTTTCGTGCACGTGGACCTGGTTGGCGTAATTCCATAAGACATAATCTTTCACTAAATGATTGTTTTATTAAAGCTGGCCGTTCAGCAAATGGAAAAGGTCATTATTGGAGTATTCATCCAGCTAATTTAGCTGATTTTAGTAGTGGAGATTTTCGAAGACGTCGAGCACAACGACGTGTTAGAAAAAGTATGGGATTATCAGTACCGGATGATGAAGAAGATGACGACGAAATATTACCACCAAATGGAACAGAACATCATTTTGAACAGTAAGTTAATAGAAAATAAAGGCAAAAAAATTCTTTTCAAAAGTTTTTTTAAACGATTTAACTACTAGAAAAATACTTAATTGATTGACGGTTTTTTTTTTCTTCTGTTCTTTAGTCCGCTATCGAAATTTCAATCAGATGAATTACGTCCTAATGTTGCAGATTTATCACTTTCATCATCATCATCATCATCAACAACAACAACAACGACAAATAGTACAGGTGTGACACCAAACCTTCTTCAGCGCTATTTTGATGACATGCAACGTGTTGTTGTATCTCGATTAGAACAACAACAACAACAACATATACATCATCCACAATTATTTTTTCCATCTCCTCCACAATCTCTTAATACAAGTCGAAATCCAACAATAACATCGACAACAATTTCAACACCACTTCGTCCATTACCAACAACACAAAATAAACGAAAACGTTGTTTTGATGTTGATAGTCTTTTAGCACCTGAACAACCATGTTTAATTAAACGACATAAATCGAGTCTAGATGGAAATGAAGATATTTGTAGTCCAGATTCCAAGTCAGACGGTTCAACCGATACGGACATATCAGCATGAATATATGTGTTTATATATATATATAAATATAACTAAATATGTGTGTGTATTGTGTTTCATATGTCTTATTCAATAATAATTTCTTTTTCTTTTTTTTTTTTGCTCTCTCACTCTCTTTTTCTTATGAGTGTGTATTCATAGACCGGCTGGTGCAATCTCTTTTTTTTTCTATCACTCTCAGCAGGACTCACGCAGACACACACACACATACACCAATCAAGTCGGTTGATGAAAAAAAGAAGTGATGATTGCTATCGCGTTTTCTGTTCTTTCTCCTTTTCGTTCTCAATTGACCTAAACGAATACATTAAATCGTATGCATTATTCGTATGCTACCTGTCTCTCTTCTATCTCTCTATCTCTCTTTTTGTCAATTGAATTTTACTTGTACATTAACACTCTATTATAAGTCAATAGGAATAATTCATTGAATTATTTCTGTTTTGCTATTGATATGATAGAGAAGTGAACAATATTGACACATTTTGTTTTTTACAATGATGATTGACAAGGTGCGAATATACACGAAATACACACAGCATGGGTGCGAAATATTGGATCATCAATCAACAAAAATAAAAAAAGAAAGAACAAAATTTTTCTCGCCTTACGATGTTATATAAATAATGATTAAAAGCTGTTTTGAAGAATAAAAATAAACTAATAGTAGATTTTGTGTATTTTTTAGTAAAACTATATTATGATTACAAACAAGTTCTCGACAGGTGACATAGTACGAAGTTTGAAGAAATATTATATATATATATATATAATATTATTATTTGTTTATGACAAGGTTTAATTTAATCCTCTTTTAACATTATTAAATCTGTAATGAAATAGATACATCTATCTGATGGATGTACAAATATTTTTATTCTTATATTCGTGAGAATCTTTAATATTAAATAAGAAAATATTTTTCTTTTCTCATCTGTGTAATACCAATAAGATATTTATCGTGATAGGATCATTTTGACATTGGAAAAAACAAGCTGTATTGAAAATGGAGAATAATCAAGAACAAGTACCTGACAGAGCAGAAAAAAACAACGTATATACGTATGTAGAATGTCATTGTGATATTCTGAAATAATAGTATAGTTTATATTCATTTACTTTTTCAAAAAAAAACTATGAGTGAGATAAATTGTATAAACACATTTAATTAAATTTTTTATATATATGTCATAGATAAATTATTTAAGTGACATTTCTTTTTTCTATTTATCTACGACGCTTCAGCAAAAAAATTATAAATTTATAAATTTAGCTTTTCTCGATTTGCATACATTGTCGTTAATATAATTGAACATTAGTTATATGACATTTGTTTTTAAATAATTCTTTGCGACAATTGATGGCGGTCACGAACTAGTAGTGCATATAGAAAAACGGACAAACAATAACAAACAAACAAACAAAAAAAAAAGAATTTATTTATATGGAAATCAATACAAATCTCAATAGAACGCCGAAATACATAAATAGACTTACAAGGGAATCTCTTCTGCTTCCTCCTTCCGATTTCAATAATATTTTTGTCTATAGATACGACACAATGTTCTTCTGGTAACCCTAGGGCCTCTAGAAAAAAAAACTGTCAGTGCAACATCTGTGGGATTAAAATAGGAAATATGAGGTAGCTGTTATTGCTATTCACGGGAGATTGCTTTATTCTATCTATTTATGAACATATTTCTTCACGATTCTTTTACTTAATCTTTCAGAAATGCAATAAGCAAGCAGTTTAAATATTAGAAAGAGACTTTATTGATATACGGTCTGTGATAGTTTCTATCTGGTGTCTGTCCCGGTCTATAAGGGGGATCCAAATTCCGATCGTCTATACTTCGGCACTCCTTTTAGATCGTGTTCCAACAATAGACATATTTTAAAACTCAATAGCGTAGTGAAATATCCATAAGAACACAAATCACTATGTAGTATCTAGAGACAAAAAAAGCATGGAAATCGGAAGAGGACAGTTAGAGAGGTTTTCTTCTTTACTAGATCTGAAGTTAAAATATGTAAAAAAAAAATTTCAAAAATATTCAAATTTAAAATACCATAATCAATTACCGAGCAAGAAGAACAATCATAAGCTCACCATTGTGCATTTTTTTTCAAGAATAGATATATGTTCAACAAATCTTTTTTAACGAATGCAAACCTTAATAGTGTATTTCTTCTACAGACAGATTTTTCTGAATGCATTACTAGTATTTTGTTTGTTCTAATAAGAGTTCATCACATACACTTACAAAATAAGGTATCTGATCATTGAAGGCAGTGCATAACTCTTCTTAGAGAAGTATAATAGAAATGGGGTAGATCATTACGTTGTTATTGTGTAATAAAATAACCATGTACATAGGAGCAGTCCATAAGACTGAAAAAAGAGTTCTTCTAAATGTTGTAGATATATTGCCTTTATTTTTCTTTTGTTATCTAGGGAAATTTCGAATTTTCCTTTGCACACGCTGACCATAATGCTTCAGTTTTATCCAGATCAAGTGGTTGAATAGATTAGAATAAAACTTTAAAACATCAAGAAATGATTATAATCTACACTTTAAATCAACACATTAGTTGCCGTATCTATTACAGTTGGTGTGGTTATCTTTTTCATTTACTGTTCCATAGATCTTCGAGGAAAGCAAAAGTTCATTTAGACAGATCAACTGAAATTTGTAAAGCATGCTTTGTAAGAAGACTATAAATATCTATAAAAGATGCGAACACCCATTCCTTTTACCAAAGAGTAGACCGTTTCGATTTAGGCACATACTCAATTCACATGAGCTTTATGTAAAATTTTGAAATTGAGAATAATACAATGCTTCTATTTTTCTAAGGCTAGCATATAAAATACTAGAGAAGCTCGATCTATCGATAGTATCAATTGTCGATTTGATGGTATTCATGTCATTTACAGATAGCCAGATTTAACTGGAAAACAGTTACTTCCGATTGGATGAATATTATTATTCATATGGATGATTATATAGAATTTTTGACTTTTATTTAAAATAAGAAAGCTAACAGTCAGAATTTTTCTATTCTTACAATATTGATGATAATTTTATTAAAATATGAGCAGATTGACATATATATTACATTAGAAATAAAAAACAAGAAAATAAAACTTTTGTATATTTTTTAAATATACGAACAAAAACAAAACCACAATTGAAGCATAAAAATGATATCACCGAAAATGCATCGAATGTAATTGATTATATATTCACATTTTTGTTGAGCATAAACTTGTTTTTTTGGGAAAAATTGCGAAAATAGAAAAAAAAAGCCGAGGTCACCAATCACCGGGAATATAAAAATATTTTCTGCACGGGTTTAGTTTTTATTTTACTGTTTGTCTGTTGAAAAACCATATTTACGTGTAAGTCGTGTTGGTGCTTCAAATGGATTAAGACGACGATTCATATAATCGTTATTATCTGTATTATGCATTTGTATAGGATGCATTTTAGTATTTTGTAATAATGCATTTTGATTTAATAATTGTTCTTGTCGTTTATTACGTGTTGTTCCAAATGAAACATTTGATGCATCCGTATTACGTCCATATCGTCGTTCAAGTTCTTCAGAATTCATATTTGATATTTGATTATGATAAGTATTATTTGATTGAGAGGGTATCGTATAATCATAATCATAATCATAATCAGTGGATGGTGGTGGTAATAAAGATTTTGATGATGACATAAAATCATTCTGAAGTATACGTCCATTTGTTGTTGGTACCTTTCCAACTTGTGGAAATTGAACTTCTTCTTTAATTGGATCTGGTACAATATATTCATTTTTTTCTTCATCATAACGAGCTTGTTCAATAATTTTATCAATATTTGTGTAATTACAATTACGTTGCATAGTACTACTCATTTTCTCAAGCATTGCACGAAAAAGAAGTAGTTGTTTTTCTTGTGTACGTATTGTATTTAAATATCCTTGACGATCACGTTCAAATTCATGTTGTAAATCTTCATTATCATTTTTCAAACGTTTATTTTCTGTATGTACTTGTTCTAATTTTTTAGATGTAAAACGAAGCTAAAATAGAAACATAAACAAATTTTTATAAGCAGATTAAATTGTCAAGTATAATAGGATCTTTATATTATAAGAAGAAGATTTCAGTTATCTCTTTCTCTCTTGACTAGACTGATACGGGACCATGATGTTTTTGGTTCTGGTTCTAATCTAGGGAAACTTATTTGTATGGTATCTAACACTTTTCCTCATAGTCCAAGTCCTAGTCTCAGTAGCAGGGACTAAAGCTGGTTCCGCACATCCCTATTGTTTCATTTATGTGTTATGGTATCTTTGATAAAGAGAGTAATATTTTGATTTGTATTTTGTCCAATAAAGATAATTATCAACAAAAAATTTCAATAATAGTGTGTGCAAGAAAACAAATTGTCTATCTGAGAGGTGCGGATACATTCAAATTATATGAAAAATTTTAGCCCTATACCATAAGATTTGAGAGAAGTATTCACAAAGAAAAATCAGAAATAGTTCACTTGACATCTCGAGGTTCTCTATGAACCTTTTTTATTTAAAAGAGCATGTCAGACAGCTGTGTCTACCAGAACTCTTTTCTAAATTCTTACTTTTTAAGCAGAGATTTCTCAAGAAACTTCCAAAAAATGAGGATATATTTTTTTTATAGAAGTGCAGGATTTATATGATAAAAACAAAGCTTATTTTAAAAAAATCAGGTTTTCGTAAGCACGTCTGTTTTACATGCCATTTCAAACAAAACTAATTAATCCTATGAAGAAAAGTCCGCAGAGAAATTTGGCATATTGAATCAAAAACAAATAAACAGAGAAAAAACGAAAACATTTATTCATTCGAAATATTTTACATCGTTAGGAAAACTAAAACAATAACCATGACTTACAGTTAAACATCATAATGCAAACGAGATAATATATTAAACAATTTTCTGTTTACGTGAACTTTTTTGTTATCTATCAACTAGTCAATTTTTCTTTTCTTGTTACATGAGCTTTAATTTTTTTGTGATAGTTGTTGAAACTTATTAAGGGGACCCCCCCCCCCCCTTTCCGGCGTTTCTGAGAAACGGCCGAACGAAAATTCCTGAAACTTGCAGGGTAGGTACACCTCGCGTAGTAGAGCAAACGTCGCCGTAGACACAAATTTTCCAGACATCATCTTCATGGACTTCCAGCGATCCCAAGGTCAAAAACTTGCAAAAAGTTCCTCCCCCCCCCTCGCAAATCCACAGATTTCATCCGTTTAAGCTGAAATTTTTACTGCGGGTAGACGGACCCAATCGGGGTGGGTGTTTTTTTTTTTTCAAAAATCCCAAATACTTCAGGCTGGAGAACCAAAATACAGAGCACTTCGCAAAATCTCTAGGTTTTTTGGATCCTACAAATTTTGCGAAGCCTGCCAAACTTGATTGGTAGAAGGTATCCAAAAAAAAAACCACCCAACCCAAATCACTTGAAGTCTCATCAAAACAATTTTCAGCCCGATCGGACTTGAAATGGCGGAGAAAAAGGGGGGAAAACTGGTATTTGATACCCAAAAAACTAGTTTCGAGAAAAATGCAAAATAAAAAAAACTTGTAGAAGAATTTTTTTTTCCGCTTATACGTAAGTATAGGTATACCATATCATAATATAACTTTATGTACAAAAAAAGAAAATTTTTTTTAATGCATAGGTCTCCAAAAAACCTGCTTTTTCAGAGACTTCCCGACCTTTGATGGTTCTGATTTTTATAGAACACATAGAGGGGACCTTGATACACCTTTACATGAAAACAAAAAAAAAAAATCGAAAAAAAAATTTTTTGGCTCAGGAAAGGGGAGGTCCCCTTAAAGTGTTTAAGAGCCTCGGATCATATTTTATTTTCACAATGTTCCGCGAGACGAGAAAATTTTCGAGATTCTCTCATATGATTCTGTGTTTTACTTAAAACAAAAAACAGCATAGCGTCATTTACGATAAAAAGAAATCTTATATAAACAAACCTCTTCTTGAACATTATCAAATACATTCATCATCATATCATCATCATTAGTATCAATTGTTCTAATAAAACGTTTTCTTTGTTCTTGTTTTTCACGCATTTCATTTAATTTCTTTTTTCGTTTCTTTTTTCTTTCTTCATTATTTATTTCTTCACCACCAATAAGTTTATTTTCTAATTCTTGTAAACGTTGAAGTTTTTCTTGTGAATTTGTTTGATCAATAGGTATTGACATATTATCACCATTTTCATATTGATCATTAACTGATATTTGTCCATCACGTTTTTGTTTATTAGAATTAGTTTTCTTTTTAGTTTTATTACGATTATTATTTAATGATTGTGATTGTTGATCTAATAATAAACAAGAAAAAAACAACTAGATATTGTTTTCTTATTTTCAATTGATATGTAAATTTTATTAACCTCCTTCAATATTTTTATTATAATTAAGTGCATCTATTTCATTGTCATATTGTCCTTTTAAGTCATCATATTGTCGTTGTAATTCTTCTTTAGTTAAACGTTCTTCTTTACATTGTCGACGTAGCTCAGATGCTTCACGTTCGAATTCAGCACGTAATCTTTCTTTTTCTTTTTCAATTTCGTCATCATAGTCAGCTTTTATTACCTAGAAATAAAATATTTATAGAAACGAAACCCTTCATATCTGTTTCTTCTTTCTCATTCTATTTCTTTCTCCATATATTCATTTTCACATAAACTCCGATAAGAAACATGTCGAAGGAAGTTAATAAAACTACGAATAAAATTTATGTTTCGTATAATCAATTACATGATATTATTCGTCAAACTGTTCAACGTACAAAACTTATTGAAAAATTTTCACCAACACTTCTTATTGCTATAAGTGCTGGTGGGTTTCTACCGACACGAATTTTACGTAATTTTATTAAATCTGAAATAGGTGGGAAATCGTTACCAATACAAACAATTGGCTTATGTTTATATGAAAGTGATAAACATGAAATATATAAAACTCAATGGATATCAACTGATCTAAAAACTGATCCATTAGCTGTATCATTCAATGGTCAACATATTCTTATTGTTGATGAAGTTGATGAAACACGTACAACATTAAGTTATGCTGTAAAAGAACTTGAAAAAGATATTGAAAAACAACGAAATGTATCAAAAGAAAATAATGAAGAATGGATTGAACCAAAATTAGGTGTCTTTGTTGTACACAACAAAACAATACCTAAACGTGCAAATTTACCAGAAAATTTAATGAAAGATTCTTATTTTGTTGGAGAAAATGTTGGTGGAGAATGGGTTGTTTATCCATGGGATGCTTTAGATATTGATGAACATACACGTTTAGCAGAAAATTCTAATAAAATAAATCAACTTACTGTTCCATTAGATGGTAATAATTGATTACCACGAGGTACATTACCAGCATTAAGAAGTTCTTCTTTAAGACGATTTATTTCTTCTTGTAATAATTTCATTTGTGCATCACGTGGATCTTCATTAATACGAGGTTTATTTTTTATATTTTTTGCTCGATTAGCATCTAAATGATTCATATTTAAATAAAATAAATAGTGAAAAAAAAAATTGATTTAACTAACATCGTAATGTTGAAAGTGTTTCTTCATAATTATCATGTGCTGGACTAATAGCAGCGATCTATCATAGATATATTTATAGATTATTTTTATTTTGAGGAAAAAAACAACAAAGGACTTTCCGAATATGATGATCTATCTTGAATCAAGATACCATATGTATAGATTTCTAGAGTAACTTGCAGTACATCGAATTTTATATATAAGAAATCAAGTTTTGTTCAAATTTTCATATGCTGAGAGTTCATACAATGATTATAATTCTTGAGAAATATAAATGGTACTCCTAGACATTATGAATACGTACGATATTATAAGATAAACGTATGCAAATTTGATTTTTAAACTCACTGTAACACAGTTACGGATGCTCTTCGATTTTCTATAATCAATAGTTTTCATCATTGCTTTTTTCATACTTAAAAGTGGTCCGTTTTCTTAGGTCTAGGTTATTTCTTGATTACTTGATATTCCAATGTATGTCACATATAACATCTTTTGGAACAATAGAAACTTATTGGCAACTTGTAATTAAAAATTTCTATGTATCAATAATCAACAGATAAATGAAAAAAAAATTTTTTTTGACTTCCAAGCCCTGGAGGAAGTACGCAGACATGGAGAAATTTGTTTTTTAAATGAAGATGAAATAATTACTGATTCTTCTAGAGTTTCATGCATAAATTAAACACGGATACTCAGAATAAAAATTAGAAAAAGAAATAATAAAGGTAACAGATCTCCTCCCTGCAACCCTATACATGTACTTTCGTTCGTGGGTCTAAAAGTCAAAAATATTTTTTCATTAGTAAAGAAGTACATGAACCCTTACGACGTCAAAATTTGAGAGAAACTAGATTTCTTATATCAAATTTGATGTATCGGAAATTGCTCTGCAAAGCCATATATGGTATTCTAGTTCAAGACACTTCATCATATATGGCAAAGTCCTTTATTTCATGTTTGTTTTTTTACCATCAATGTTTTTGTATTACCACCAAGTGAATCTTGTAAAAGACGTGTTAATTTTGAATCTCGATAAGGTATATGTTTAGAACGACCATCCACCAAAGCAGAAATAACATTACCCAAGGCACTAAGTGATAAATTAATTCGAGTAGCTTCACGTAAACGTTCACCTTCAGCATCTGTATTTACAAATAAATAGATAAATATTTTATATCAAACAAAAAAATGAATATCGTATTGAAAGTCGCTGAAAGTATTGTTAAATTTAATGACAGCAATTATTCAAAACTCAATCAGAGATCGAAATCTGTATCATTCATTCTAAAAATCTCATGACAATTAGATAAAATTAAAAGTTAAGATGACAACACTATGTGATCTGATTCAATTCATAATAGTCTGTGTAATTGTATCATACTGATCTTTACACTATAATCAAATGATTTTTGATAAGTGAGTATATGTAATCGAACTACTAGATTGAAGCTTAATCGAGTTTCAGTTTAGATTTTGGATGTTATGAGTAATATCACTCTCAAAAATGAACTAGTGTCACAAAAAGAAAACATGTGTAGCAAAATTGATGACATATTTAGCGGTGATTATTTATTTATTAAAAACTCAAAATAGAAACTTGTTACTTACGTGTTTTTGATTGTCGTTCACTACCAGCTAAATCAACTAAATTAAGTTTTCCTGCTCGAATATGATCTTTTCCATCAAGTTCACTTCGTGTACACATTTCAGTAAGAATAGTAAATATTGAATGAGAACGTGATGAATCTTTATTCATAAGTGTAGCACCCGTTGCTCGACTTTTATTGCCTTTATCCATCAGTCGTTCACAATCGACTACATTTGTACATTGATGCCATGTTAAATTTGGTACTTGTACACCTTTATCTACATATTCCTTTTTTGATTTTTATAAATAGAATATTTAATAGATTTAAAAATATCAACAAAATAATTCTATATTACTTTAAGATCAAGTGTTGCTTTAACATCTTTACCAAGTAAATCACGAATACTTTCATTATATATTTCAAGATATGATGCACGAATAAGATATTTTGTACCAGCTGCAACTGATGAAGCTTCGAATATATGCTAAAAATAACTCAATTACTAAGAAAATAATAGTTCGGATAATTCTTTTTCTCTTTTGCTAGTCCTTAAATTCGCATACATAGTTTTTCTTTTACAATTGCTTTTTGTTTGAAAAGATAAATTCTTACCTCAAATGATCGAGGTATAACACCACGTTGTAGAGATCCAGATGTATTAATTCCTTGCATAGTATATGATTTTCCACATCTAAAAGTTGAATTTAATTTTTATTACTGTAAAACAAGAAAATCATTTTATACCCTGTTTGTCCATAAGCAAATACTGTTGCATTATATCCCTCGAGCACCTGAAAGAGAAAAATAATTTTTTTTTTTTTATCATTATCACTTCAATTATATTTTAATTTACACTTTCAACTAATGGAAAAACAGAATCAGCATATATATTTTCCGTTACAGAATCTACTGGATAGACTGCATCGAAAGTGAATTGTTTTGGTGGTTCATTACTTTGTTCAATATTTTCTAACATAATTTGATTTATTTGTATATTCATGGAAACTATTGTCTAAAGCAACGAAGATAAAACGATTTAGTTCATTATATATATATATGTTCAAGAAATATCTTACTTGACTTTTTAAATCTAGCTCACGTTGATTCATGGGTCGACATCGTACGATGACACGAACAGTTTCACCTGTATTCGATGCAGCCATTATCCGTGATTTTTAAATAAAGTATTCAATCTAAAAACAAGACAGATGAAAAAAACAAAGAAACGAAGAATAATAAAAAAATAAGTAAGGAATAATAATATAGTGTTATGATGATGGTATGACTTATGTTGCTAGCACACTTGATGTCAAGTGTTTTACAGACAGAATACGATAAAAGAATATGAAGGAAAGAACAGCCATGACAGATTAGGTTGTCATTCGAGATGAAGGTAATTGCCTTCGTTATGCGAAAGAGGACGCCATTATATACACGCTGTCAAAGTCAAGTGATTTATTAAATCGCTAGTACGATCTGTACTTGAAAGAAAGTCATGTATGGATACGCTTTTTTGAAGGTTCTTATTCTTGTCATGAGAATTTATAAAGTTAGAGAGATATTTTAGTATTATTTGTTTTTCCGATCCCAGTTACATTTCCAAATTATGATTGATGGGTAGTGCCAAGTATACAGTATGGATTGTGTTGAATCAAAAGAAACTTTTCATCGAAAATCGTGTACGTTTTCTCACACATGCTTAAGGAAGAGATGACTTATCACATAAATAGAACAATTTTATGCATAATTTATCGTTTTTTTTTTATATCGTTTGTTTAATTAACATCTATTTTTTACTTGCTTGGTATGAATGCAGATAAAAGTGTACTTTTCACTTCTTGACAAAACTTCTAATTAGTGCTTGAGAGGGTGTGGGTGTGGGTTTAATGTTGTTCCTCTTTACCCTCACAGTCGTATCGCACACCTACTTCCAACACCCAATCACTCCTTGTTTTACACATTTATTAATATAATTCGTTCAACATTTGAAACCTCAGCACATGTTGGAACTTGGCACAGATGCTGGCTATAAGGCGGTTTTAGCTGCTTTGAATCGAGCTACTTATGCTATCTGCATTGATGTGTCGCAAGTAGCTATGAACAATGTACAGGAAAATACTGGTAAACATCAATTGGGAAATCGTGTGATAGCAAGGTATACAACTCATTATCATCAGAATGTAGAAATAGATTCAATTTGAATTCCTGGAATTTTCAATTTAGTCATATCAATAATCCACATAGTGAGCTAATTAATTTAGAACGATGCGTATTTGATCCAGAACATAAAGCGATTAAGGGTGTGGGTGTGGTTTGGACTTCTTATTATAACAACTCGTCAATATTTATCACGCAGCATACAATCAAGATATAAATGTCTCGTGAGTAAAAAAAAAAAAAGTCTTGGGAACAGAACAAGGATACAAAATATTTCTTTTTGCCAATAGACAGTTTAAGAAATTCTCGGCATATATTGTGTAAGGAGATTTTTTATATCACGCGTTCTATATATTCTGCAATGCTTTAAAAAAAAAAACAATTTCAGTTGTTCATGGAAGTAAAGAGTTAACATTAGGAAAGGGGGAGGAGACGTCCTCGTAAACTATGGATAATCATTGAAGAGAGATTTATTGGAATTAGGTTTTTTCATTCATTGAAATATTAATTATACTTTGAGTATCATTTATTCATGCATCTGACATAAAACACAAAAACAAAATTCAATTAAAAATTAAACAAAAACACCAACACAAACACACACAAACATTATCTGATAATAGTCTACTACAAATAAAATATAAATTAATAAAAAGTTTTATTTATTTTTTTGTCAAGACATTTTTGTTTTTCTTCGTTGTCTTTTTAATTATTTCTTTGGGTTCATTATCATCAAATTTTAAAAAATAATTTTGATAAACTTCTCTATAAGCATCACTTTGCAAATAACTAGCTAATCGTGTTAAATTGCTCATTTGCAAAGCAAGTTCAGGAATAAATGGATTTGGTTCAAATCGATAAATATGTTTAACATTACCCAAATCAAGTTTTCCTATTTAAGTAAAACATACAAAAATTAATATTACTAATAATATACGACGCTATCGGTCTTGATTTTCTGATTTTTACAAAATTGTTCTCATTCGTTCTTACATTTAGCGAATAATTTCTAATACTTCGGGTTTTAGATGTTCTTTCATAAGTACCGAAAATTGAAAAAAAAACAGAATTATTCGCCAAAACTAGAACGAATCAGAAAGTTCAAGACCCATCGCGACACATATTGATAGAAAAAACTATTATTACTCACCAAAAGCGGGTGGTAAAACATTAATTTGATTTTGTTGAATATGCAGCTCTTTTAATTGCCGCAAACGAGCCAATTCTTTTGGTATATGACGTATACGATTGTTACGTAAGACAAGCTAAAAGAAAAGAAACATGCTTTTGTCTCGCATGAATGATTTCATACGTAAGCATATCGCATATCAAATCATTAAAAAAATACTTTTACGATGCCAAGTTCTACATCATCAAATATTGTACGTTGAATTTCTTTTTCAACAAGAAAACACACACAAAACTTTGACATTCAATTTAGACTACAGCTAAACGAATACGTCGATCAAATAAACAACATCGTCGTCGACATGAATTATCACATGTGATACGCTATCCAACATTTACTAATGTGTTTTATTATGCAAAATATTTCTTTTTTAAAACAGCACTTGGTCGTCTCATGTTAATATTTACATTGATTGCAGGATTTAATCTCTATTTTTTCTCTGAAGTTTATTGGCCAAAAATTTTAACATGGTTACAAAATTCTACATCAAAATCAATTGATACATCTTTCGAATCGTCTACTGAAAATGATTTCTAATTTTTTACGTACGATTTGTAAGTTTTGTAATTTGTCAATATGATCATTCGGAAATGTTTCAAATAAATTATCGCCAAGATAAAGCGCACGCAAATTACCTTAAATAGATATATAGATAAATATTAATTTATATACCGCGTGTGACAAAAGTTTGACAACATTTTTTTTGTTTTGCATGTAACTCTGTTCAGTAACATGATAAAATGCTGATCGTTTTTTTTTTCTCAAAAGATATACCATAGAATGTTCTAGTCGAATCACAAGATCATATCTTTATAGTTATTTTGGAAATTTTTAATAGACTGATAACATTGAATAAGTGTATAGTATCGTATTATTTTCTACAAGGAGAAATAATTGGAAGTCGAAAATTATTCAATTTTCATTTGGATAATTATTGCTTATTAATTCTGATTATAATGCTTACGAGGTCACATATGTAAGTGTAAAATCGCTTTTGAGTCGGGACTATGTGCATCATGTAGGCGTTAGTGAGACTAGAAAAAAACCAAAAGGATAAGGGCTGCTAGGCCTATCTTCCCAAGTTATGACCGTTTTATTGAATTTTTTACCCAATGCAAGGTACTTCGAGGCAAATCAAAGGAAGGAATTTTGAGCAGAAATTTTGCCCATAAGTAGGCCTAATGATCCCTAGAATGTCCTGAAAGTTTCAGCCAAAACGAANAAAAATCCCTGTACTCCCCCTCAGGGATGATCTTCTCAATAATGACAATTTTTTCGATAACTCAGCCATTTCTTGACGGATCCTGCTCATCTTCGAACTCGACCGAGACATTGTTAAGACTGAACTGTGTAGAAAATTTCATCGCGATTGGACTCTCCTTTCAAAAGTTATCGTGTTAACGGACGGACGGACGGACACACTGACCGATTCTAGAGTGTACTCACTTTTTGAGTACACAAAAAGATCACTCTAACAGGGAAACTTTGCTACATGTCACATCATTTTTCGGCTGAGACAATATTCATTTGATGAGTCATAGAAACGTCTAGAATAGCTTGGTTTTCGATGTAACGGAATTTTATCAGAGATTTTCATTAAAAAGCTTTGGTCGTCTGAAAAATTCATTTTCGAGTTTCGACTTCAAATTTTGTATGAACGAAGTTCTTCATGAGATTAGTTCGTTAAGCACGTTGTAATTTCTCTAGTTTTATCTATTCTGAGATATTCAATATTCGAAATTCTCTCATGTGTAAAAGTAAATTTTGTTCATATAGTTACATCATCGGAAAGGAAATACTAGTTGTACAACGAACTAATCTTATTGAGAAATTTATTCGTACAAAGTTTGAAGTCGAAATTCGAAAGTCAATTTCTCACATGACGATAACTTTTCGTTGAAAAGTCTAATCAAATTTTGATATCTCAAGAACCAAGACCCAAAAAAAACGAAACTATTCTACATTTTTCTATTACTCATCAAATGAATATTGTTTCAATTGAAAAGCGATTTCACACCTGGAGACGTTCTCTTGTCGACTGTTATTTCAGAAGTTTTAATTTCTTTGTTAGTTTAATTCTACGTATTGAAAACTTTAACACTGAACTCACCTTCATTGACTATACATATTCACATAATAACTGCTTTTTTGGACCTTTTAAAAATCATCTCATTATTATCGAACAAAAACTGAAACAAAATTCCTAAGCTCATATTTAAAAAGATCACAAAAGTGTCATCCTAATTCATCGGTAATATACATTATTAATAGTATTGCAATATATAGACATAGTTATGTTGATTGTATGGATGTGTACATTACATTAAGGCACATCCAGTATTAAAATTTATAAAATAACAGCTTACACTCTTATTGAGCGCTACAAAAATTGGTATAAAGTCGATTGAAAACGGAGACTCATACTTAAGGACATTCTCTTTGTCAAATGTTTGTAATCGAAAGATTTGCTTTGCAAAAATCTGTATTTTCAAACATGTCTTTCTCAATTAATAAGGAGATAATTATTTCCTAAAATTTTGTCAGTTTGTAGAAAAAAAACAGAATAGTTGAATAATCCTTCTTTACACATTTCTTTGTTCTTTCAAAGCTTTCTGAATAAAGTTCTGTTCATGAAAATTTACTCTCTGCGTTTGCTTCTATGAAATAATATATTTTTCTTCTAGAGGACATGCCATTTTTCTGAAATTCAACACAAAAAAAAAATGTGCCCGAGTGTCAATTAAGCATAAAACTGCTTTAGCATGTTTTTTTTTTAATGAATCATTTTACATACACTTGAATATTTATATTAGTTATATTATCTTCAACTAGCAAGATCATACGTACAAGTTTGTATTGAATAACAATAAAAAATAATGACTCTCTTGTGATGATAATAATAAAAAGAAAATATATTATTCCATAGAGGCGAACACAGAATGCAAATTTTCATCAACAGTATTCTTTTTTTTCGAGCAGCTTTTGATTATGCTAGAAAAAAATCAATTATTTCAAACCTCATAACTCCGTTTAGACCTTGTCGAAAGTAAAGAATATTTTCATATTCCAATACTTGAAATTGTTATCTACATATTGACAAAATTTGTGAGTATTTTGTAAGATGAATCCATCGCTTAAGATACCGAAAGAATAATAACGCAAAAGTTCTTCTAAAATTTTTCTTAATTCATTAACATTCGAAGTCCATCTGAATACAATTGGAAAATAATATTGACTTTGATGAAACTTATTTTGACTGGAAAACAGAACGAATCTGAATATTTTCGGATTGATACTCATTTCATCTCTGATTTTAACCAAGACAATAATCTCATAATATCAACTTTGATTACAGCAGATTAAACAACTGGCATTCATCAAATAGACGAAATGGATTACCATATCTAGGTATAGTTCAGATTGTTTAGAGTCGTTAAATATAAGTACACACGAAAAACATCTCATACAATAGATTGATATTGACTTCTACACTCTAAAAAGAAGTCTGTAGTGTCGAAAATCTCGGAAATTTTTCTAGCGTTTAAAATAGCAACATTTTCAAAAATTTCGAAGGACTTTCGATAGTACGCATGGCTTTTTTTTATAAGTGTAGGTGTCCGCAAATTCAATTCGTAGAATTAAACTTTCCGACAGTGTATTGTTCTATTTTTGAGAATGGTATTCCGTGGATATAAAAAACATATCAGTTAGAGCCCACCAAATTCGAAATAGTTTAAGTGTTCTAAAAACACGAGATACTTTTTTTCGAGTTTCTTATACGATGGGCTCTACTATCGGTAAGTGATTAAAAAAGAGTAGCCGGAATTTCGCCAATAAGATTTTCGCCAATATGACTTTTATCAGTACCCACGGCACTGCACAACATTCTTTCGGAAAGGTTTCACTATCTTCTGAGAAGCTCAAGAACTTTCGACAATATCTACCCTCATTTTCCTGCAATTTCGCCAATATTGGCGAGAGTCTTATTGGCGAAGAGCGGCGATCCCTTAAAAAAATAAACGAATTTTTTCTTACCATTGAAAATGAAATAATATCATTAACAGCCAAATATCTCAATAGATGAATATCACCTAATATATCTGTTGCTTTATATTGACTTGCACTTGATGTTGTTACACCAGCACCACCAGTTTTTGAAAACTGTTGTAAATATGATGCTAATGCATTCATATCCTATTTAAATAGAACATTATTTTTCTATTCTTTTAATACAAAGAAAAAAGTGAATTTTTACTTGTAATTCTCCGACTTGCATTCGATTTTCAACACAAAATGGTGTTTTTATTGCTTTGCAATCATCATTAAATGTTGATTGTATTTGTGCATCACTCGATGGAAAACCTGTTGGAACATCAATAATAAGATATTCAAGTGGTAATGGACGTGCTATTTTCATTATTTCATTATTATACGAATCTTTTTCCTAAACAAATTAGTTTTTCGTCTCTGTTTTTTTTTTCATTGTATTTATTTACTTTATAATAAACATCAGGAACATATTGTTCGGAACTCGTTTCTCTAACATAACCTAATTCAGGTGCATCATAAGTTGGAAGTAAAATTTTTGACTTAACTAAAGCCATACATTGATTTGAAACTTGATAACCTTCAAAATGAATTTGACCTGATACATCTCCTGTAACAACAACAGTTACAAATTTTGAACCAAAATAACCATCCGGAGAATATTTGCATATATTTGGATTATTATTTTGAAGCCAACCCGCCATTATGCATTCTTGTGCACTTAAAAAGTATGAATTCTATTTAAAAAAAAAATAAAACAAATTGATTGATTTCGTGGTTTTCTTTTTTTATAAATCATACCACATTGCCACGATGATGAAGAACAGGACCACCACCGGATTTACTTTCATCAGGTATAAGATCAGTAAAAATCCATCCAATACGACGAATATTAAGACGACGTGCTAGATCATCAATCAATGCTTCATGTGGATCAGGTAGATTTAATTTAACACTATCTCTTGATGTTTCCTATATACAACAACAACAAAAAAGATTTATTTTTATTTTTTGAATAAATCTTTTTTTTTTTTCTACGAACTTGTGGAGGTTCATAAATAGCTGAAACAACTGCACGAACACCCAATGGTACACCGTCATATACTTCATAACGACCATAAAGAAAACCAATACGTTGATGACCTGATGAACGCCAATAATTTAAAAATCGGTTTACCATATTTCCATTCTCAAACATTATGTTGTCTATATGACGATAAGGCTTAATAATAAAAATAAAAAAACAATTTGTTTTTAATTTCTGCATATCAAATCAATACTTATTGAACGAGATCAGAATGAATGCTCTAATAGGTAGTTATCATTCATAATTATGATTTATTTATAAATTCGTTTATTGCATTAACAAGTCAAACTAATTGTTAGGACTGAAGAAAGAAATTCTACAGGGTTTAATCTTCATTTTTGTATATAAACATTATCTGAATAAGTTTTGTTTTTTTATTGTCTCATTCGGCGAAAAATATGTCTATTCTATTCATTTGCTAAAGATAATGATAATAATAAATATAATCTAGAATGTCTTCGGAATTTCGTTCCTGAAAAAATATCCTTCAGAATAAATGTCCTTGAGAAATAGTTCCTCATTCTCAACTGTTATCTTTTTAAATATCATGTTATTGGATCATAGATGACGCTGTAATTCAAAAACACTTCGGCAGATATTTCAAGTGTTTATCTAGAGAATTTATTTCGTATAGAAATAAGAGTAGGTGTGAGTGTGAGGGAAGGTAAGATCCACATTCCACAATCATATTTAACACCTAGCTCAACCCACACCCATAGCAAGACCCTCATAACCACTCACGAAGGAACATCTTCTAATGTTGAAGACTTTTTGGTCTAATATTATGGTTATGAGTAGATCTTTGCGAAACTAAGAGAAGCTTAGAAAAATTCAAGCTCATAGCTTACTAATTAAGTTCTAATCGTCTTACTGAATTTTTTTAGTCAGAATACAAGGCATTTCTCGAAAACATCAAAATCAAGAATTTTATCCTGAAATATTGGATAGAGATAAAGTGAATAATCATTAAAAAGTTTCACAATGAGAAATTGCAAAAAATACTATCATATACTGGTTTATCAATTTTCTCGATGAATATTTTTGAAATCTTGATCATTTACAAAAAAAATCAGATTTCATAAATCAACGAATACTTTAACTGCGTTTTCTATTACAATAATTCAAATGAGTTTGGCATATCTTTCATCAATAAAATATATTTTTCTACGATGAAGACTATCTTGTAATCTGATGAGTTCTAATCATTCATCAGATTACTTTATCTATTTAAGTTATTGAAAAATAATACATAATAGTGCTGTTATAGTTTCTTATCTCTAGTCAAAGTTATAGAACTGCGAACTCTGTAATTATTTAATACTAGCTAGACACAATAATCTATTAAAACTTTTTTGACATACTTTATATTCAATACTAAGATGGTACACAAAATGTTTAATAATAACGTATTTTTTTAATTTTATTCTATAATGTTAAGCAATTAGCTCAAATGCAGATAGTGTTCTATGTAATGCAAGATTTCTAAAACGAACAGAATACTGTAGTTTTCAGGTCCCAGTAAAACCAAAAAAACCGTCTTTTTTCGATTTTGTGATGCTTTTAAATTTTTAAGTAAAGATCGTAGAAAATGTAGTAATTCCTCATGTTGTGCTCTTTAAAATGACATTGTTTAAAAATAATCTTGTAGAACATGAAAACTACAGTGTCAGATTTCTTTTAGAAATCTTGCATTAGACAGAATATCATCTGGATTAGAGCTAATCGCTTAAAATTACAGAAAAAAAAAGAAACCAAAAATACGTTGTTTCTAAATGTTTTTTAATACCATCTTATTATCCGTAAAGATATTGATAACTAAAGGGAAGAAATTATTTTCTATGTAACTCATTTTTTATATTACCTGACGCATAAGCGTTACTGGATTTGGTTGACATTTTGTACAAACACCTAGAAAAATTATACATTAATATATCTTTAATATCAAATATTTACCTTTTGGCCAAGGTGCATGACCAGTGGCACATTTGTCTTTAATTGAACAACTAATATTCTCAAGACTAGCAAATGTATTTCTATAACAAGAAAAAAAAATATAGTAGTCGAAATTATGATACACTTCTTTTTTTTTTACATCTATCAATTTTTACAGTTATAAGTGTGTTGAAATATTAGAAATCCTGAGAAACGAAGTAAAACAAGATCTTCTCCATGATTTCGCTTATACTTAAGTCATTTTTCATTCATTCTGTTTGAACATCTGTTTTTTACACTTTACAAAACCATTATAAAGATTTTGATAAGAAAGTTTCAGATGCAAGGTAGGAATGTATAATTTCTAAGACATAAGCTTGAGCTTTTTTGACTGATACTGAGCAGATTTTGGTTAAAAGAATTACGATTTGATTAGTCAGAAAATGAATTTCAACAAATTCTACGATTTTAAAATCATAATCGAACACAAAATGAAAGATAATTAAGCAATAGAAAGAAAATTTTGATTAAATTGTAATTTTTCTAACTAAGAAGACCTGCTGCATATCAGTCACAAATTAATGCTTTTTTTCGAGATATTTATAATTTTATAGAGCGCAAAAATTTCTACATAATACACTCTATTAAAATTGCTTCCGATTCATTTATCATATTGAAAAATGGCTTATAATCGAAAAAAGGTCAATTATTTTTTATCAAGATCCAATTTTTTTAAAAACTCATTCGTCACATTTCTATTCAGTTTTATGTACTTTTTATAACATGATCTAAATGATGTATTAAAGTATATGGGTAAAAATTTGTACCCGCTGCCCCACAGACATTTGCTAGAGTCTATCATAGATTATGACAGATACCTGCCTACAGCAATTATTCATCATAACAGATGTTGTTGATACACGATGAAAGACCCGATATCAATAACATCTCGTTATAGTAGTATACAGTGACGTATCCAGGATTTTTCAGTATGCTGAATCTTGACTTTTGAGCATGGGACCTAAATGAAACTCATAGAGGGTGATGTTGAGTCCAAATGATGGAATTTTATCAAAAAAAATTTGCACTCGGAGTTTGCGAAAAAAATTAGCATTTTCCTGATCCCCCCTCCTAGGATTTTTTTACTGTTAGTATTATCTTGGATTTTAGAATTTCATAGGAAGCTATACCGAATTTCATCGACAGATTTTAAATTTCGTCTAAAAATGTGCAACTGTTCAAGAGTTATAATGTTTTGAAATTTCGAAAAAATTGTTTCCACATGTGGCAAAAATTCAAAAAGTTATAACTCTTGAACGATTACATATTTTTAGACGAAATTTGAAATTTGCCGATGAAATTCGGCATAGCTTCCTATGAAATTCTAAAAATTAAGATGCTACTAACAGCAAAAAATTCTAGGAGGGGGGGATCAGGAAAATGCAAATTTTTTTCGCAAACTCCAAGTGCAAATTTTTTTTGATAAAATTTCATCATCTGGATCCAGCATCACCCTCCATGAGTTTCATCTGGGTCCCACACTCGGAAGTCGAGATTCAGCATACTGAAAAATCCTGGATACGTCACTGTTGACAAATGACTTGAAGCAAACTAATCATTGATATACTACTCAATAGAAAAATATATATTCTTTTATTTTTCTATATTTCAAACAATATTTACTTCTAATTAGGATAATTTTTTGGCATGTTGAAGATAACAATATGATATAAATTTATTTTCAAAAATCTTACTCTTCATTTTCCTGATTATTATCAGTGTCTATAGTTGATAATATATCTTTATGATGATTGTCTAATGTTGTTGATATAACTGTATTATTGGACGGACTAACTGCTATAGGTACAGAATCATTCCATTGAACATCACCAAATTGTATATCAATTGGTTCAGTTGGAAATTTTACTGCTGGATGCATTGATACAGGTTCTCGAGGAATAGTTGATGGTATTTGACGTTTTGATAAAGTTTGTAATGATGTTTTCATTTGACTATTATCAAAACTTAATGATTGTCTTATACCATCGATAAATTCATATTCATCTGTTAATGGTGAAATTATTTGTGTTAATTCTTCATTTATTTGTTTAGGTATTGAAGATGTTTTATTGATTATTGGTTGTGATGAATCTGTTGTTGTTCTTGTTGATTTATTACGAAGTGAATAACGTGAATTCGATGGAATAAAACGATTTCGACCAGAATCATTTCCTAAGAAAACAAAAAAAAAGAATTTTTTTGTTTTAATTGAAATTAACATTAATAACAAAAAAAAAGAATTTACCACGTCGTCCAATATTCGTACGTATTGATGTTGAATATTGATAATGATCATTTCGATGATGTCCACCACGAAGTGATGAAGTTGGAGATGTACGTTGAGAAAGAGAACGTTCACTATCACTTAAATTATTACCATTCATTTTTTGATCACTTATATTATGATTTTTCTTTTTATTATTTGATTTAGCTGTTTGCCAGCCACCATCCTATAAAAAATAAAAAATTTTCTTGTTTTTTTTTCTCTCGTAGAATTTTTATTTTTACCTCAAAATCTCCTGCACGTATTCGATTTATTGTTTCTTGCATATTATAATCACATTCATGAAAGACAAGGGCTATTTTTTCCGGATTAACATTACCACATGCTTTTTGTATCTAGTATAATTCGAAAAATGAAGAATTTTTAATAATAAAAACAAATATATATACCAGTAAAATCTGTTCTTTAACAGACACATCATCGAGTTTTTCTGGACGTAATCGAGCAAGACGTGTTTGATCGATATTATTCATTCTTGATGGCTAAAAAAGGAAAGAATTCTATTTTCAAAATATATATACCGAACAAGAAATATTACAATATTTCCTCAAGATAAAAACAATTAAGTAGACTAGAATAGATTTTTCTTAATATTCAATCATCATTGGAAAAATCCATATTGAATATCGAGGAAGCAAAGAAACAATATGAACAGGATTTTTCCAGCTACATATAAAAACCTCGGATACCAACAAAGCTACAAAACGTATACCATACGAATGACTATGATTTTCACTTATATAAGATGTTTTACAATCAAATATCAAGATAGCCAAAAGTAACTTTTCGGTACGCATAAAAACTACAAATCCGATAGATACTCATAATTAGTCGGGTTTTCAATTATTAAAGATAACAACAGTTACTTTGATATTTTTTTATAAAATATCTTGTAGAATTAAAAATTAAAGTAAACATGAGAATCCGAGAAGTAGTCGTGGGTTTTACAGGTTAATATATAAGTGAGAATAAATCATTGTATAGATTTGAAAATAATACACTTAAGTCTAGCGTATCTTATTAAAGCAATCAAAATGTTTATTGATAAGTAAATGAAATCTTTTTCTGTTATAGAAATTAATATGACTTACATCAGATCGATTATGTTTTTTTTTTTCTTTTCTTCGTTTAATATTACTTAATAACTAGCCATAATTAACAGAAATAATATGTATATAATTATAATGTAATTCTCTTATATTTTCATTTTAATAATATCATAATCAAGTATGAAAATATCTCGTAAATAAATAATTGAATATAATATTTGTGTTTTTTTAGAAATTAAAGAAAAAACAGGATTGGAACGATATTAATTGTAAGAACAGTGAGAAGAATTCACTAGGTTTTTTTTATTCTAGAAATATACCAACGAACGAACCAAAAAAAAAAAAAAAAAAAAAAGTCTTTAGACCTTCATAGTTATTCTTTGGATGACCAATCAGATAAGTGTAAAGCATTAATGCATTTAATAAAAATAAAATCTTAATATGATTGAATAAAACTGAAGCTAGTGTGTAGCCAAACACATTGTTGAATTAAGATTCACGACGGACGAAAAAAAACGATATTATATCCTTTCCTAGATTAAATCTACTTTATCATTCTATTTTTTCTTCTTCTTTTCGTCGTTGTTGTGTCAAAATGGATATAAATCAATCGACCGGCAATAAAATGCCGAGTCAAGAACATATTAATTTCATAAATAAATTAAATGATACAAAAATTCCACGACAAAATCAATTAATTGCAAATCGTTTATTTATGAAAAATTTTCCTCGTGAAGTAAGCCGAAAGAAAAAGATGAATCTATTAATTCTTATCGTTTATTCCAGACAACTAGTATTGAAATTGATAATTTCTTTCAATCATTTGGTGCTGTACATGATGTGAAAATCATTGCGAAAGAAAATACGTATGTTTAATTTTGTTTTATAAAATAAAAATCTATGTGTTTTTCGCTTTCTTAGACATTTTGCATTCATTTCATTTGTTAATGAAAATACTGCCTTAGATGTACTACGTCAACATGATATTGTGCCGCTAATATTTAAAAATCATACGATGATTTTAGCACCTGCTTATAAAAAAAATAATGTTCTATCAGTAACAAGTAATATATTGAAGTTCCTATTTACTGATTTAAAAAGCATGATAATGAAACATAAGGATAAGAAACCTTTTGAATCGCTTGCTGACCTTCAAAATACTCGAATTATTTTACTTACGAAGGAACATATCCAAATGTTGGGCGCTGTTCGACTTCATATTACGACTAAGAAAAAACTTAAAACGATTCGCATTCATGATCTATTAATAAAAACATATGATTGTTTTACAGATAGGAAAGCATTTTCGAAAAAGTCTAATAAAACAACACAGTGATCGATCTTACTTGGACATTAAATATTTTGAGAAAAATATTTTTATAGAAACCTTCAGGACTATCAAGCCTTATCTATAGTCAACACTTCTTGTTTTCAGTTTTTCGACTATTCCTAGTTCTGATTAAAACGATCATGACTAGATCATAAATGCAAATGCTTTTAAACTTTTCTTAGTCTGACAGAGCCATAGTCGTGATATAAAGTCAAATTACATGTAACAGGTGGATATGTTCCCTAGTTAGAGCAATATTGTTAATATTATCGTGTGTTAGGTCCTACATCTCACTTTTCAACCAACGATTCGGCGGTAACACCACCACAAACACCTTCGCGAATAACAGTAAATGGTATATATCAACAACAACCATCAACACCATACCATCATTATCATCAACAACAGCAGCAGCAACATCAAATGTCAACTCCGCATACTGTTTATCCACCAATATTTTTTCCTGTACAAGCAAATGTAAGAATAATTAATAATTTAAATTTGAAAACTAATCAATTAATATTCAGATGCCATTTGTTCCCATGGCTGGTACTTATATAATACCTCAAGGTCCAACACCTTCGCATCATCCGGTAAAAATAAATATTAAATGAAATAATTTTATTAACGAATAATATTTCTATTTAGCAATTACCACCATCTTTCTATCCAACATTTTATACTCAAACACCTACTCATCAACCGAATGGACAAATCATGAATGGAGTATGTTTATCAATTTTATATGACTTATGAAAATAAATAAGAAAAAAAAATTTCTTTTAGCATGCTTATGTTCCATCTCCGTATATTTATTCAATGGGACCACCGCCAATTCAAGCACAATATCAACCAACGTCAACAATAAATGATGTATCCATGACAAGCGAATATTGATATATTCTTTTATCTTTCCTGTCCTCTCGATTCATTAAAACAAAAAAGTTTTCCTACAATTCTTTCTACTAGTATTCTTTTTTTTTGCTCAGGTATCTTCTATTCAAAAATCTATCCAACGGGAAAAACTTCTAAGTCGATATCGTGCCCTTTGAGTCGTATGTATGTGTGTGCGTTGCTTTGATTTTTCTCTTTTTGTCCTCCGAGTATGTGATGATGGTGTCTTTCTCACCGGTGTATTAACAGCTAAGATTTCTTTTATGTTTTTTTTTCTTTTGTGTGTACAGCAACGTGATATCATTCTTTATGATCATCTATTTTTTTTTGTCTCGCACTCTCCTTCTATGTCAGATCGTTTATTCTCAGAAAAACTTTGCCGGTTATCATGTTTTTCTTCTTTTTTTTTCTCTTGTCAGATATAAGCACATGGTGCAATGGTTTCTCTTTTACTTTTCGTCTTTTTCCCATATACGGTCGTCTGTAATAAAGATTAAAAAAGAAAACCGACATTCATACGCGTTATATTTTACTTGCTTAGTAATGTATTTTAGTAAGACCGGAAGATTAGGAAAAAAAATGTTTTTTGTTTTTAAATTATGTTCTAGACAGTCGTTGGTCGAATGATCCAGTAACGATTGAATAGTGTCCCATTACGACGAAATGTAACAAGAAAAAGACCATTTTTATTTAGTGCAAAATCATGTATTATTAATGATGTATTAGAATAATTGGGTAATGTATGAAGACTATGTTCAGCAATTTCTTCACCATGCTCATCTAGAACAAATAGATATGTACCACATGTTAGAAAATATTTGCCTCGAAACCAGATGACTTCCGATGGTAAACTATAAGAACACATTGATAATGTACGAATCGGCACACCAAGTAGTGTATACATTTGAATATTAGCTGTATTTTCCAATGAATAAGTAAATAAACGATTATTTCTAATAAATAATTTAAGTGGTAAATAATCTAAACGTATTGTTCTTTGTGGAACACCCATACGCGTATAAATTCTTATGACTCGATATGTATCATCACATACATAAATTAGTCCTGTATAAGTTATAGCCAAACAATCACTACGTATTATAGATATACTTAATAATTGCGGTGTAAGACAACGTACAAGACGATTATCAGGAGAAAATATATAAATAAAATAAGCAAGTGTAGAAATTAAATAACTATAACCATCTTGATCAATATGTATTTGTGAAAATGAATAAGCATTATGAATAGTTGAAGGTAAAAATCTATCATGAATTGTTAATTGTATTTGACGAAAAAATATTGATGTTAAATCAATAATATATGTACCATTTTCATTAAGTAACAGTAATTGTTGATTACGATTATCAATTATTATAAATCTACCATCAGGATAAGCTTCTATTGATGACAACCAACGTGATTCATTAAATAATAATGCATAGTCATATATATTTATATAATCTATTCTAGATGGATATGATGATCGATTATTGATCAATGTTGTTGTTGTTGCTTTTGTCGAACTTAATGGTAAGTTTGGTAATGTTGCATATGGATATATTGTCCATAATGGTATTGAATATGATTCATATATATGAAAATATGAATAAAATTCTTGAAGATCATTATCAGAATTAATTGTATATCGTTCTAAAAGTAAATTCAAAAAAGATGTTTTTATTTTTGTTTAAAAAAAAGAAAAATACTTTTTGTAAATTGATCAAAACAATTTTCCTGTAATTCTGTTAATGGTAATAATCTAGATGGTGGTCGTTTTTTTTTATAATTATAATATAATGCAGGAATTTGTGTCCAATGAGAATGTTGTGCATTATGACTTACATAACAATATAATTCATTTGAATTTTCTTTACGAGAATCAAATAAATCACGTAAAAATATCATATCATAGTGATATGATCTACAATCACCTAATTCAATATGAAGACCTAAGAATAAAATTTTTTTCTTTTTAGTTCATAGTATTTCGTAAAATTTATATTATCATTTAAAATCAAAATGATTTTCCGTGTGTTTTTTTATAATGTTTTTAGAAAACACTTAAATTAGTAAAAATAATTTTGTTAAAGAGTGAACGAAATATTTATTATTTCTAGTTGTAATACGATTATGTACCCGCGGCCCGCATAACTCACTACTATTTAAAATGCGTGCTGAATTGCACAATTTTTGATTCACCAAATCTATTGGATATATATCATTTACATCGAAGTTCAATATCAGCAATGAGATTTCATGTAGTTTTTAAAGAATGCTTTTTTTGTATAGATAAAAACTTATAAGCTCAAATCCTTATGAATAATATGCAATTTGAGATATTATTAATGTGTTTTCGTCTTGATAATAACACCATCATTAATAACTATGTTTATTTGTATCAATTTGACGTTCACAGGATAATGTTTTTATTCGTGAAAAGATTAGTTTTTGTTATATGTGCTTGTGTTGAGTAGATCAATATCGTTCGTGTGACTAATTCTTCATATGAAGTTTAGCTTTCACATGTGATAGCATATTCGAAAACAAGTGATTCAAATTACTTATGTTGCTTAGGTTAGTTCTTATCGGAGTTGTTTACATTAACTTAACGCAAGTCTCGTGAGAAATATTGGGATTGTTGTGAGAGAACTCGGGAGAATTGCTCGTCATTGCATGATTCTAAGCGAGATACAAGGGAATTGTGTTTACGTCGTCAATTTTCAGAGTTTTCTTTACCAAAAACCTAATTAAAGAAATGTAAGCTACTTCAATAACAATCTATACAAAGAAAAATGAGTAATTTCAATCAGCTATTTTTGGATATAACACCACACTTGAAAGCTTTTTCCTTATAAATAATCGATGAAACAATACCTAACGGACACTCCTGTAAAGTGATTTTCTCGACGCAGACACATATAGTTAATTTATGAAATATTGAAGAAAAGTTTTTGTTTCGGTAGACAATTATGAATAAGAATACAATCATCATCAGTACGAAAGTATTTTGATTTTACCACCAACAGTACACTATTAATAGAGATTTGAAGATATAGATTTTATTTTGAGAAAAATTCTCGATGAAATACATTAGATCTTGTCGTGAATGGAAATATCTTCGTACAGCGCAGTTTGTTTCAGAAGGTTTTGCTTAATTAAAATAAAAATCCATTAATACCCTAAGAAGGATATCAATCACGCATATGTAGCGTGTTTTTATTAAAAAACATTTTGTAAACATTTGTTCATTGTTGAAATACAATTTAAAGTGCAGTGACACCTTTGACAGAAACGTTTGTAACGCTCATTTGTTTTTTTGTGCGTAATTCGAGTATATTGTTTTGGTTATAGGGCCGCATCTTGAATTTCCACTTTTTCTAATCTTATATTCAATGCTCTTGACGAATTATTATTGTGCTTTTTTATGCTTAGGTACATTTTGAAAGAATGACTTTTAAGAATTTTTATAAAAGCGTTGATAGCAATAAATATTGATTGTCATTAAAAAGTGCGTAGAATATAAAAATGCACGTAAATGAACCCTTCTCATTCCATTGTAAAAATAGATTCCTTATGTGGACTCATTTTTGCTTTCTGTATTATTGTTTTTTTTTTTTCTTTTGAATACTCAAACGACAAAGTTTAGATCTTAAAACAGCAAGCATAATATTTTTTCACAATTCTAAACTTTATTTTTGGGTTGACACATAAGAAGATTATTATAATCTATTTTATACTTCATACAAGTGATGATGATGAATGAAATACGATTTACATACATGGAATCTGACGTAACCATTGTTGAATAGCTGTTTGTTGATCATAATTGAAATAAACAATTGGATACCAATCGAGAACATTAATCCATAATTGTTTAAATCTAATAGATCCGTATTGTGAATAAATGGCATATAAATCCATTCCTGACCATCTTGGATAAGGATTTTGTATATAAATACTTGAACGATTTGAAAATTGAAAAAAACTTAAAAGTTCTGTAATACTACCATGTGTATTAACTATTTTAAGATAATCAATAGGTATTATTTTTTTTGAATTATCATTTCGTACAATAAAACTTAAATTTTCTATAACTAATTTTCTTAATGAATTTAAACACATTGACCATGTTGAATCGAATTCAAAATAACATTGATAAAAATGATCAAAACAATTATAATCATTATAAATATACAGTTCATCAATATGTTGATGAACTAATAAACGATTATCATTTCGACATAAAGTATGTGATGAAAAATAAAAATTAAATAAATTTCGACATTCTAATCGACGTTGACTTGCTAAGGAACAACCTTAGAAGAAAACATTTTATATTCAAAACAAACAAAAAAAAACTAATTTCTTCGTTTTTCTTTTTGGATCTCTTACTCCATGGTGATACTTGATTATTAGAACGATTTTCTTCAGTACCATTTGTAAATTTAACAATCAACTCAAGCAGAAATATTAAACATAAGTATATGAAATGCATTTTTGTGCACGGTCATATGCAAATGTAGGTTAGATCTACTGGTATCCATTGCTTGTTCACTTCAGTCCCTTGATAATTGACATACCAGCTCGGGTTTTTTTTTCTTCTTTTTTTTTGTAGGCTCATTTTTTTTTTGGAGGGTTATGTCTAACCTGTTCAATTCAAGGTTAATAGTAAAAATATTTAGTAGGCCAATACGTAGCATAGAATAAAAAATCAATTAGCTATATTATTTATTAAAAAAAAACGAGTCTTTGTGGTTTTGCAAGGTCATTGCTAATGATTCAAAAACAAAAGAAATCGATAATATGACTTCCTGTTTATTATTTATTGCATATCGACACGTCAGAGAATAAAACATTTGGGAAATCTTTATATTTTCTAGAAAATATATTGTGTTTTTTTTCTATCTTTCTGGTACGAGTTTATTTTTGTGAAGTATGGTGATAATAAAGAAGAAATATCTAAGTCGAATGAATAAATGTGATTACACATATTTGTTTGAGTACCAGAATTTTTAGAGTTGAAATTTTTTTTCTATTTATTTCACATACTTTCAAACTTATAAAATAGTATGGGATAAAAGAAAAAAACAGAAAGTATTCAATAAGCTGATAACATAATATTTAACCGAACACTATAATAATATTTTCTTTGTTTTTATTATTTTAAGCACCTTTGGATAATATAAATTCAATAAAATTATTTTTTTTTTTTTTTCAATTAAAATTTTTTGCAAATAGGTTACAATTTAGAAAATATATTTTAATCAAAAACAAGAAAAAAACATTAGCCTTTTGTATAAATGTACTTAAAGAAAATCAAATAAGAGAATATTGATGCATGATATTTTTTCTTTAATAGTTGCTTCTTCTTCTATTTTTTTTTTCTATATTTGCACTTATTACTGATGAGATTTGTATTATATATATTTTATCTGACATAAGTCATTTTTGCTGATGAAATGACTTATATTTTTCTTTTTCTTTACATTCTAATAAGGAAAAAGAAAAAAGACAAGACAGACACTGAAGTATTAGGCATTTAACTTCTCCGTTCTTCTTCCTCTTGTTCTTTTTCCCCTTCATCGTTTTCATCCACTCAATATAAATTACGTCACAGTCTAGACAGCGTCGATGGCGGCGACGACTACTACGTTGTTACATGTTTGTATTTAGCCTGTCTGACTAGATATATATATATATATATATATACAGTGAGTAAATCGAATGATGACGAAAGAAGCATATACAAACGTGTATATGTATATTAAATTAGATTCCATTTTCATCTCCTTTTTCTTTCATGTGCATCGTACAATGTTTAGAGTTGCTGTGTGATAATGCTTCTGTCTGTATAGGTAGATGTGATAGACGGCAGAGAAAATGTCAAGTGTCAAATAAATAAGAAATGTCTAGAACTTTTTCAGAATAAAAATAGCGCCCTTGGCTTTACAGTCTGAAGCATTTCAGAGCCATAAAAATGTTCCGACAAAAAGTCACCCCACACTAAGTACTCAGAGAAAATAGTTTATATGTATTTTCTACCTAGTATTACATATAAAATCAACAATGAATCTTCAAATTTCAGTTTGAGCAAATAGTCACAATATGTCGTCGATGTTTTAGATGATATGACGTTGGTAACTTTTAGACAAAAGACATAAGAAAAAAAAACCTAGTAATCATTCGATTATTTCTTTAGTAATAAGAACATCATTAATACAAAATTTTAGCTATTATTATTAAATAACCTATCTATCGTATGTTATTTTGTCTATCATATATATATATCTAAGGCTGGTGTTGTGTATTTAAACAGATGTTGTTGATTTTTTTTCTATATACTACAACAAAGAGACAATGATATGATTTATTGATAGAAATCGTCATTGTTCGGTGAGACTGTATAGACACGATAAATTAAAATTTTTTTTTATTCTATCGTCGGATCTTAAAGGTCATAATAAGTGCAGAAAAAAAAAAAAGGGTCAATGTAATTCAATTTTTGTCTCGACTAAATTCAGTTATCATATCATATACATTATTGCCTTTGAAAATAGTCAAAAAACTCATTATTGAGTACCTTGATTGAAAGAAAAAGAACATGAATTGATAATTATCTCGCTTTTCTTTCTTCTTTATGGCGAAGAAAATCTAACAAGCCAACATTTTCTGACACTGTTTCCGCCTTTTTTTCTTCTTTCTGTATTCAATTCAGCTTGTAATCATGTCTACGATCACGATGACCCTAATGTCTGTTACCACTCGTCTAGTTTGAATAATGACAACGTGAAAAAGAAATATATGTTTACAATCAAGAGCATATCATAAAATGAATAATTTTGTTCTTGATCATTCTCTAATGGGTTGTATAAAAGAAAAGTACGATGCAATTAAGCCTTGAAAGGTGAAAAGAAACAAAAATTTGAAATAATTCCACAATTTAGGTCAAACGGAAATCTTGATCCATGGTTTAAGAGAAAAAGTAGATTATATATCTTCAAGTAAATTGGACTCGATAAAAAATATGCGGTCCGACCCTTTTTTTTTTTTTTTCTTTCTATTTATCTTTACTATCACTTATCATTATATTTCGTCGGCATCATCCTCTTCTTTCTCCTGTTGCGTCGTTGTTGTATTCAACAGGTTCTGTCTTATTTTTTTTTTTAAATTGCTCTGATCATCCATTTAACAACAACTGGAGTCAATTGTGATGGGGTCTGTCTGGTGCATTTTTGTTGATAACGGAAATAGACATGACGAGACATACTCAGCAGTGCGTCGAAAAAGAGAAAGATGATGATGATTATACATTATATCATCACAAGACACCCAGACACACATACACACATATACAAAGCAGACAGACGCGAAACGCAAGAGGAATGAAGAGAAAAAAAATCAAGAGATTCAGACATACACACAATACATGAAAAAAAAACGTCGGCGATGGCTAGACAGCGCTCGAGAGACAAAGAGAGAGAGAGCGAGAGCAATTCGGCTGAGAGGAGAGAAAGAAGAAAATAAAATAGACGTCTATGTCTAACTGCCGTTTGTCTAGCTGTGCGTTTGCTTCTCCCGTTTTGTCACTCGTCTCGTCGTGTTCGCTGTTACTCATAGTCACTTACTCCGTTTACTGTTAAACTAACTATAACTTCTATTTTTATTGCCAAAAAAACAAAATGTAAGTCAGGCTAAAAGGACATCTAAGAAAAAATAAAAATAAATAGAAATTCATATTTTCGTTTATCTTCTATGATTTACATATTTTAATGAGAATATATATATATATATATGTTCAGTTCTTATTATTAAAAACATATGGACATTAGAAAGTAAAATTGAAGTGAAAGCAATAATTTCCGTCCGTCTGACATATCAATTTACATGGATAAGAATAAATGAGACGAAAAACATTGCATGCACTTCGTATATATATATATATAAATACGTAAAAATTGAGTTCGGAAAGTATTAATAATTAATTTTATCTTTAGCATTTTTCAATTGAACTCTTTAATCGGAAAAATAAGACTGAGCTTTTAATAATATAACATATTGACAAAAGAATAATTGTTATTTTTTTTTTTATCAGACATGTCTAGAAGAATTCACTAACTTGTTTTTTCTTCCACTAAAAATAATTCTTTTTGTTCCTGTAACCTTTACACATATGTGTTCGAGATTTTATATTAAAGTAAAGAACGAGTATTATCTCGAACAATATAGAGATGTGAATCATTTTATTTTATTCATGAAATTGAAGTTTCTTCTTTATAAACATTTAGCTATTTTTTTTCTTTCTCTTAGCTATTTATTTGAATGACTTCGTTGATTAAAAAAAAAAATGATTTTTATTTTATTTTATTTTTGTTTGTTTTAGATCATCGATTAAATTCGATGTTTGTTTCTGAGCATGTAAAAATAGTTTTTCATTATCTTCTTTAATACAGTTTTTATTCAAACACAAAAAAAAACCCAAATCTATTTGAAACAAGTCGATGTTTAATCGTTTTCCACAAAGAATTTCTTTTTCACTGTTAACATTGCTGTTACTTCTTTCATCGTTATGACAGCTACCGGCGCAGTGCTGGTTCAACATCGATCATTTACATATAATAATATTAAATCAACATCACAGCAATTACTCAAACGTCATCGTCGTCAAGTAAATCTAGTAGCACGTACGTATTTGAAGAACTTACATAAAATGTCCTATATCATAGTTCTATAATCAAACATAAAAAAAAAATTCGATGCATAAGTGCAACGAATTTACTACTTCTACTGCATTATTCTTTTCATTTTCTTCGAGTGGTTGTCGATATGAAACCAATTTTTTGTTTTATTTATTCGGATGAAAATCGATTTTATATGTTAGATAAATAATATGCAAGAATACAAATCTTATTTGAATATTTTAATTTGGCAGAAGCATCAATATGAAAGAAGAGTATGTGGGGGCGCGGCATCCTCTATTGCTCTTGATAATGTGGTGGTTTTTTTTTCTTTGAAGAACGAAACAGCAAAGTTCTTTTGTAATGCATATAACTACTAGACCTATATAAAAGAAGATGTTATCTTCGGTTTCTCTAAAGATTTCAATTTTATCGGTCCTTTTTTTCGGCGACTATCGTTAGAAACTACATAGGAATTTGAAAAAGATTTTTTTTTTTAAATCAAAATACTTATGTCTCTGTAAATAAAACGCCAACGCTGATTCAACAACATTATTAAAGTGCCAGTGTCTGCTGTATGTTCTTGGTGAACTGAAATCTAAAAAAAAAATGCTTGTTTATATTTCATATGCACAATTCTGTGATGAAATATGAAAAGGTTTGTTTTTCAGTTTTGATCTTAGAAAATAATTTTGTCTGCATTATTAAAATTCGTTTTTATAATTAAAGTCTACATACAAACAAAAAATTAGTTTGTTTGTTTGCACTTGTAATAGACGTGACATTACAGTCGTTATGTAGTGGTAGACGTGACCAGGTA